ATTCTTTGTTAAGCATTGCATTGAAAACAATAAGTCAATAATAATCACAAGCTAAGATGTGAAACACTACATTACATGGATACAAAGGCATACCAAGGGAAAGACACGACTTTCAAATGATTGTTCTTCTGTGCAAGTAGCAACTCATAACGGTCACCTCGGCCAAACTTCCATCTTCGTCGCCTCTTTATAGTCGAACGAGCACCCGATTATCCAACACCGAGAAACTTGGGGCATTTGATAAGATACACGTCTCTGTTCAGTTATTCACAAGAAGTCTAACACATGAAGGAAGTCAGATCAAGTTACTTCCCCTCAGCAAGATTTAATCCCCAGTGAACTCGACAAGGCTAACTCTTTTCTCTCAGATTTCGAGCATCAATCCATATTGGTACCTCAAGATGACGAGCAACAGATCCCAATGAGCTTTTGGAACTTCGCATACAATAATCATCACGACATATTGCATTTCATCCTCAAACTCATAGCATATCCATGGATCATCATGCCGTACTTCAAAATGCATACGAAGAATGAGTCAGATTTGGTACCTTACCAAAAATCCCCAAATCAATCCCAAATCAACAAAACATCCCCACAAATAATATCATCCTCATAATTCCAAGTTAACATCTGTTATTACACTACCAACTAAAATAAACCATGGTGTCAGTACATCGTACTCCCCAACTCTCAATACTCATGTTATCTTTTCCTACGGTCGTAGATCGTCCGTAGATCTTACCCTCGTTTTACATTTCCTAAGGTTGTAGATCATTCGTAGATCTTACCTTTGCTTTATCATTTTAAGGTCGTAGGTCGTCCATAGATCTTACCTTCGCTTTATCTCTCTTATGGCCGTAGGTCATTAGTAGACTTTACCCTCTCCTCATCTTGTTTTTAGGGTCGTATACCGTCCGTAGATATTACAATCATGCTATCTTTTCTAAGGTTGTAGGTCGTCCATAGATCTTACCTTCACTTTATCTCTCTTAGGGCCGTAGGTCATCCGTAGACTCTACCCTCTCCCCATCTTGTTTTTAGGGTCGTAGATCGTCCGTAGATCTTATCATCACGCTATCTTTTCTAAGGTCGTAGGTCGTCCATAGATCTTACCTTCACTTTATCTCTCTTAGGGTTGTAGGTCGTCTGTAGACTTTACCCTCTCCTCATCTTGTTTTTAGGGTCGTAGATCGTCCATAGATCTTACCATCGCGCTATCTTTTCTAAGGTCGTAGGTCGTCCATAGATCTTACCTTTACTTTATCTCTCTTAGGGTCGTAGGTCGTTCGTAGACTTTACCCTCTCCTCATCTTGTTTTTAGGGTTGTAGATCATCCGTAGATATTACCATTGCGCTATCTTTTTTATGGTCATAGACCATCCGTAGATCTTGCCTTCAACCCTCTTAGGGTCGTAGGTTGTCCGTAGACTTTACCCTCTCCTCACGTTGTTTCTAGGGTCGTAGGTCACTCGTAGGTCTTACGCTCATATTATCTTTCTTGGGTCATAGATCATACGCCGATCTTTACCCATTGTCTTCACCTTTCTTTTTGGGTCGTGAACCCCACACAATAGGTTCTCTGCTGTCGTCAAATTCTACCCGTCATCTTTAAGTTATTATGTTGTTAGTAATCCTACCTCCAGTCATCATGACATCGTCAACCATATCTTTTTAGACACTTCACCGCCAACTTCAACGAGAAATTTGTATTGGCACTGTTACCGCAGTACGAGCTACCATTTTTCAACCATCATGACCAGTCCACCAGAAGACCTTTTTTTTTTCTTTCCCTAACAGACACTCACGCCAATAAATAACACTCACACCATCTCTCCCGAACAAATTTTGGGTCCTGGTATTTAATCATCTTCCACCTTGAACTTTCAAAAGCCTGACGCCAATCTCACCTTCAGGTTTAAGACGATTAAATAGGGGCAGTTGTCGTACCCCAAATTTGCCCTACCTCTTTTTACTTTTGTTCGGATTTGAACTTTGCATCCTATTTGCATCATTTTTACTAAGTCATTTTCATAACCCGCATCTCACGGAATCAGGCGCCTTGGATTAAGGTATTAGGGTTGTGCCCTCTTTATGTCTAATTTTGTTTTGAAGTTCTCTTATCAGGTAAAAGGGAAATGCATCTGGTTCTCGATTAGTGGATTGTGGGATAGATTTTTGAAGTATGTTGAATTTCTTTCTCACCAAGTTACAAGGTTCTTACTCGCTCGAATTCATCAGAGCCTGGATTAGGGTTTATTTCCCTATTTGTTGGTCAAGATTTTAGGGTTTTGGATCCATGGTTTTTGTGAAGATGTTTCTTTCACCTACCTCAAAGATAACTCAAAGCTCAATTCATTAGGTCAAGGATCTCATCTCCTTGCATTTCAAGATTTCTTCTTAAGGTCCCTAAGTCACATAGTCGAGATTTTGAAGTTTAAGTTGACGAATGTGGAGTTTGGGCACAATAAATAAGTTTGGGGATTCATAATGATCAAGGCATATTTTGGTTGCTTAAGTTACAAGTTACTTGTGGTTTTAATATCAAAATTAAAATTCTATTTGAGAGTGCAAGCTTGGTTTAGGCGTGATATAAAGATTAAGATTTAGGTGACCATTGTTTTGGGTTTGAATTAACCAAGTGGAATTAAATTCTTAAGCATTTATTTTGCTTAAGAGTTTGATTGGAGTTAGGAAGATAAGGCGCATGATTGCTTGAAGTACAAGTTACTAAAGTCATGTTGGATTTCTTGAAACTCAAGTTATAAAGGAAAGATATGCATTCAAATCATTCAAGTGGAAATTGCTACTTTCAATTAAAATTCAAGAGTTTGTTTAATTTCCATACAACAAATTCATTCAAAAATATATCATTCAAGTTTTTGTGTTCATTACATTTTTGGGACAGATTACAGAACATGTGAAATCCTAAATTACAATTGTTTAAATATAAGCTTCAAATCTTTTGTTTACAAGGAAAATGTTTGTTTCTTCAAATCTCTTTGCTTCATCTTCAAGCCATTCGTCCTCACTCCTCGCCCTGGCCTCTTCGACCTTTAACCTTTCCTCGATCGTCCAATTCTCGTGTTCATGAAACAAGACAAAATGAAAAAGTTAGCAAGCATCGTGAAAAAAATTCCAAGCAAGAATTAATGGTTAAAAGAAATCTTTATTTCATCATGATGGTTTGTATTTGGAATCATATTAAAAGGGGTTTATTTTTAATCATGGGACATTTTCTCCCAATTGCAAATCACAAAAAGTTTCCCTTCTTGGTTCACAAAAAAAAAGAAAGGAAAATTGCCAACATTGTCTAACAAGCAAAACTGTAGCTGCAACAAAGCAATGCAAATAGCAAAATAGCTCGATAAGTAACAAAACTGCAGCCTAAGCAAACTGCCAAACATAGCCCACAGCAGCTGCAACAAACCAGCAAACAAACAAAGTAGCAAAAAGAAGTCAAATAATAACAGCTGCTGCAAACAAAAACAACAAACAACAAGCAACCAAAATAAAGCAAAAGCAGCAAGTCATAAAAACAATGCAAACTAGCAATAGCCCACAAGACCTTAATTGCATCATCATGTTCCTAAAAATTCAAACCCTTCAGAATTATGTGAAAAGCAAGGTTGCTTTACATCATTGAAAGATGAAAGAGGAAAAGATATCACCTGCACTATTGCCTCACATCTGCCAAAACCTGTTGCAGAAACAACCAAACAAAACATGCCAAAACCTGCACCTCATCTATACCACACCTGCTCTAAACAGTCTAAACATTGCACAAAATTAGTAAGACAGAAAACCTGCACTCAAATGTTCAAAGTCAGCTTGCCAAATATGTTCAAAATTCACTAATTCCCCCCCCCCCCCCCCCCAATTTCCACCTCTATTTCACTATAAAGAAAAGCCATTGTTTAATTGAAGAGGGGGATAACTAGACAGCATAAGAAAACTAAGAGGGAGAGGACAAAAAAAAGGAACTTCATGTTTCGGCCAGGACTTACTCACTGCAACAATTGTTCACACCAGTTTTCTTTTCAAAGAAGAAGAATGGAGGAAATCAGAGCAAAAGTAGAAGCAGACAAGGAGAAAATGGAGTTACCTCAAGAATTCTTCTTTTCGAGTAGCCTTCATATTGGTAACATTTTCTTCATAATACTTTGCTATTTTCTTGAATATATAAATTCTTGAGTGTTGTTTGCTCTGTTGTCATCTTGTAAAACATTCATGTGCGTACTCTTATTGTCATTATTATATCCCTGCGTTAAGGGCTTGTTATCTTTTAATCCATTGGGAAAGAAAGAGACTTTGAATGAAAAGCATTTGAAAAGAAAAAAACTTATGTATTGTTTGTTTACCAGTGGGCAGTAATCTGAGCGGAACTATTGTTATACGCGGGAATTAGACGAGTGTTATACCTGCACTGTAGTCGTCTTTCTGAACTGATATCAAATTGAGAAAATTGTGAGTTTTTAAAGACTTTTCGCTTTTTCCATGACCACGAGAATCAGAGAGCGGGAGGCCGGGAAAGAAAAATGCAAATGTTGTTGTTCTTGTTGCTAGAAGATGGAGAAAGTAGAACACATAGTCATATTATTGTTGAACATAAATCAAGGAATAGAAAAATTTTCTCAAAAACTTTATCACCTTTGATAAACAGATTTTAGCTCTATTGTGACATTACTGACTTTAGCTCTCCACCCATCTAACCTCTCACCGATCTGACCTGTTTTCATGAAAACAAAAAAAAAGGAAAATATGGATGTTTTAAAGCCTAAGTAGAGAAGTGTTTAGTTTGGTGCTCACACATGCAATGGCCGACTTTCTCGCAGAAAACCCCCTCGATTCTAGGTCGTCCCTCCAGATCTGATGATTTTAGCACCATCAATGGACACTGTGTACGACGGAAGACCTATACATCTCACTCCCCAACCGTCAAGCACAACACAAAAACATAACATCTCAACATTCTGAATAAAAAAACTCTAAATCTCACAATGCAAGAGTTAGGTCAATGGAAGGAACATATTTCTCACCTGTTGAATGTCGCAAACGATTATATTCGTGAAGTTCCTTCTAATCAACTCTACACGGCTGCTGCTATCGCGGTTTTCACAACCCTAATTATTCTCCTACTTTGTTATTTTAAGCACGCCAGGTTGAACACCATCGTGTTGATTGGTCTTAGTGAGAGTGGGAAACTGTTATCTTCTATCAGCTTAAGGATGGCCCTACTCATCAAGGCATTGGTACATCGGCGGAACCAAATGAAGACACTTTTTTCTTCATAGTGAAACAATGAAAAAGGGAAAGAAATTCTGTTTGATTTTGTTTTTGCGGTAGATATTAGAGAGCAGAGTGAGAGTTGAAGTTTTTGTTGGGAAAGTTAAAGTTTTAATTTTTCACGGTACAACTTAAGAACAAGTTCCAATCATAATGTTTGCCCTCCCAGTAATAATAATATTTAAGGAAATTAGTTTCTATTCCCCATACACGATTCCCAGCGGCGCTTTTCTTTGGTCTAGGGTTCCTCAAGACCCCTCCTTGTTTCTTTCCTCCAGCCGGGTCATCCCATTGGGCTGATGGCCCAATCCATTAGCGATTTTCCCTATTTGTTTTAATAAAATCATGAGTATAACAAATAAGCTTGGTACAACTGGCAGAGCACTTCACCATAAACTTTAAGGACCCGGGTTCAACCCCTGCTGGGGCCTTTTTTCATTTTTTTAGTTCTTTAGGCTTTATCTCTCTATATTTTACTATATACCTCTTAAACAAATATTTATTTAGTTTTTCTTTATATAGTTATTTCATGAGAAAAATACAAAAACATGTTTTTTTTTAAAATTAATCTTTCATTTTGTTATTCACTTAATCTTTTATTTAATATCTTTTAATTCAATTTGTTTTATTTAACTTAATAAAAGACCTAAAATAAGTTAGAATTAGGATTTAATTTCACAATAAGTCCTAAAAATATTTTAGTACTATTTTCTTTTATTTAAAACCATAAAAATATTTAGAGTCTTAGTTTCTTTATTTGCTCGCTCAAACTTCGGTGTCATACTCCCTTAGGTAGCTCTATGAGGCGATTAAATCCTGTTTCGATCGCCTTATGTTGAAATAGACTTTTAACTCACCACTTATACATAACAAACAATTAGGATATTTCTTAGTCTCCCTCTTAACCCTTTTCTTTTGTAATTAAAACGTCATTCACAAATCAAAAATACAAAAATACCTTTAATCACAACTTGAATTTATTTTAAAACTTGCAAATCACTCAACCAATCAAAACTCCCTCAAAGGGCATGTTATCTCTTTCCTACCGCGATACCGGTCGTTCCTATTGCTAGAATGCGTGAGTTAACATCGCCCACTAAAAAACACAAACAAACAAAATAAACCATTTTCTAGAGGAACTACGGTGTTCTGATTCCTTTATTGGATACGTAGGTAAAGGGTCGCGAAACCCTCACGAATGCAATAATAAAAAACCATTCATTTCCCCTTAAGCAAGTATAGTTGTAGATAAATACACCCTTTAAGACAAACAAACAAAATGGATCCCGTTGAGTACAGCGGATGTGAGGGATGCTAATACCTCCCCCTCGCATAACCGACTCCCTTACCATTTCTCTTGGTCGCAAGACCATATTATCTATTCTCTTGTGGTTTTATCAATATTTCCCCTTCCTTCGGGATGAATAAAGTTCGGTGGCGGCTCTGTGTTTTTTTGTCGGTAGCTTTAGGAGTACATGGTCAGCCACCTGAATTCATTCTGGTACATGGAGATGGATATATAATTAATCGAGACTCCATGTCAAACCTTTAAAGTGATTTCCCATGCTGCTGTTGAAGATGTTTCTGCCATTCCAAAGACTACCAGAGTTCCGCACAAGATGGCTTCCTTGAAAGATGCCAAAGCTACTATAGAAGAAGGTGGTTGCACTATTTGGGGCCAGCTTCCTGATATCCCTTACAAATATGACAAGTTTGGTTTGGGCTTTTCTAATTAAGGTCAAAGGGTTATTTGTCACGCTCGAGCTAGAAGACCTTCATTCCGTATCAGCAACAACGGAATCAATTCTATAGAAGATGCTGACAGTGATTGTGATTTCGATAATTGGATCTTTCCTACCAAGGGCAACAGACTCAACAATTGGAAGGTGGAAGACATTATCCCTATCTCCTTTATTCAGGAGTAATAGATATTTCTATTTTTATTGCTTTAAGAAGTTTGGTTATGTAATTTCTTTTAAAAACAATGACTTTAAACCTTTTGTCTTGCTGGGGAACAATAGTCTATTTGTTAAGGGTTGTCATTTCATATGTCATATTTTCATTCAATGAAAACTTTGGACGCTTTGCATTCAAATTTTGGGCTCTCTGTCTCTCTTTTACTTTATTACACTTCGAATAACTATGTGTTCTTACACACACCCACACACTACATTCCATATCCACATCCACTCTTGGATTTCGTTGATAATAATTCTGCTATTGCCGCATACGACTTTGAAAATCCGATCTACCAAGCCGATGGCGAAGGTGAGGAAGATTGTGAAATACCCGGAGAACTTTCCAGACTCTTAATACAAGATGAAAATGATATCCAACTGCACGAAGAGACGATCAAAGTGGTAAACTTGGGTTCTGAGACAGACAAAAAAGAGGTCAGGATAGGCGCCAACTTAGAGGACAATGTCAAGAACAAATTGATTCAGATGTTACATGACTATGTTAAGATATTTGGTTCGTCATATGAAGATATGCCAGAGCTCGATACTGATATTGTGGTTCACCGTCTGTCGATGAAAGAGGGTTTTCTCTGATTAAGCAGAAGGTTTGTCTCATGCGTCCCAAGATGTCAGAGAAGATCAAGGCCGAGGTTATGAAGCAATTCAACACATGTTTCTTAGTAGTGAAATCCTATTCTAAATGGGTCACTAATGTTGTTCCGGTACCAAATATAGATGGCAAGGTACGTATGTGTGTAGATTACAGGGATGTGAACAGGGCAAGCCCCATAGATGACTTCCCGCTTCCACATATTGATGTTTTGGTTGACAACACTGCTCAACATAAGTTATTGTCCTTCATGGATGGTTTCTCGGGTTATAATCAGATCAAGATGGCTCCTGAAGAGATGGAGAAAACAACCTTCTTCACACAGTGGGACACTATTTGTGTAAAGTTATGCCTTTTGGGTTAAAGAACGCTGGGGAAACTTATCAGTATGCCATGGTAGCTTTATTTCATGACATGATTCACCACGAGATAGAGGTCTACGTCAACGACATGATAGCAAGGTCATAGACTGAAGAAGAACATCTTGATCATCTGCATAAGTTATTTGAAAGGCTGAAGAAGTACAAACTAAGGCTAAATCCGAACAAATGCACTTTTGGGGTGAGATTCGGTAAACTCTTGGGTTTCGTTGTCAGCGGAAAAGGTATTGAAGTTGATCTCCAAAAAGTTAAATCTATTCAAGAAATGTAGGCTCCCTATACTGAGAAAGAGGTCGGAGGTTTCTTAAGACGACTGAATTATATTTCCCGATTCATTTCTCATTTGACTGCTACATGTGAGCCAATCTTGAAGTTGCTGAAGAGGGATGGAGTGGTAAAGTGGAACGACGACTGTCAAATAGCTTTTGATAAAATCAAGGAGTACTTACAAGAACTTCTGATTCTGATTCCACCAGTTGAAGGAAGACCTATAATCATGTACCTCACAGTGCTAGAAAATTCAATAGGGTGTGTATTGGGGCAACATGATGAGTCTGGTCAAAAAGAGCATGAAATATACTACCTTAGCAAAAAAATCACCTATTGTGAAACAAGATATTCATTTCTCGAGAAAACTTGTTGCGCTTTGGCATGGGATGCTCGCCGACTAAGAAAGTACATGTTGAGTCATACTACTCTACTGATCTCTAAAATGGATCCCATTAAATACATATTTGAGAAGCCAACCCTCTCCAGAAGAATATCTTGATGGCAAATGGTCCTAACAGAGTAAAGCATTCAGTACACCACTCAAAAGGTAATAAAAGGAAGTGTACTGACAGATCATTTGGCGCATCAAGTTGTAAATGACTACCAATCTATGAACTTTGAATTCCCGGATGAGAACATCATGCTAGTTATGGATTTTGAAAAGCCTGAACCGTATGAAGGACCTGAGCTAGGATCCCGGTGGACTATGGTTTTAAATGGAGGTTCTAACACACTTGGAAACGAGATTAATGCTTTAATTATCTCTCCCATTGGTTGTCATATGCCCTTCACTGCCAGACTTTGTTTTGACTGCACCAATAATATGGCTGAATATGAAGCGTGCATCATGGGTATTAAAGTTGCTATTGACCTGAGAATCAAATTCCTGAGTGTATATGGGGATTCAGCCTTGGTAATCAGTCAAGTCAAGAGAGAATGGGATAGGAAGCATCCGAATCTTATCCCTTACCGAGAACATGTGTTAACTTTGATTCCGTCTCCCAAGAGAAGAGAATCAGTTGGCAGACGCATTAGCTACCATGTCATCCATGTTCAAGGTCATATGGGACAATGAGGCTCCCATAATTACCATTGAAAGATTCGATGAACCGGCACACTGTTACAAAATTGATACTGACGGAGCAGAAGAAAACCCTTGGTTTCATGAAGTGAAAACGTACCTTGAAGCTTAAGAATACCATGAAGGGGCATCAATCAATGACAAGAAATTCGTACGGAGTTTCTCGGCTATGTTTTTCTTGAGAAATGAAATTTTATATAAGTGAAATCATGATTCAACTCTGCTTCGCTGTGTAGACAAGAAGGATGCAGAAAAAATTATGGAGGATATGCACGAAGGCATCTTTGGTACTCACTCCAGCGGGCATATAATGGCCAAAAATATTCTTAAAGCAGGTTAGTATTGGTCGACTATGGAAACTGATTGTCACCACCACTCAAGAACTTGTCATAAGTGCCAAATTTATGCTGATAAAGTTCATGTACCCCCAGTACCTTTGAAGGTAATTACTGCTCCTTGGCCATTCACAATGTGGGGAATTGATATGATCAGAGAAATCAAGCCTACTGCTTCTAACGGACATCGCTTCACTCTCGTCTCCATTGACTACTTTACAAAATGGGCTGAAGCAGCCTCATTTGCCTATGTTACCAAGAATGTGGTAGCTTGATTCATTAAGAATAACCTTATCTGCCGATATGGCATCCCCGAGAGAATCATCACAGACAATGGTACCAACCTCAACAACAATATGATCACTGAACTCTAC